ACAGCTACATTCTGTAAACAAAAACTGGTATCCAAACTGAAAAGCTGTCCAGCAGCAAACCTCTGACTGAATTAAGTTATCATGGTCAAGCTTTAAACCCCATAACACCTGGGTTTCACTGTACTGCTTCACATGCACCAATGTATTTATATAATACAAGAATTTATCTGAGAATGGAAGGCGAGATTCTCCACTCTCTTGTCCCCTGAGTTTTCACTTATACATCAGAAAAATGAGTGGAGCTACCAAATTGGAATTCTCCACTTATTTACACCAGGGATAGTGTTTTATACTCACTTGGCATTCATAATGCATAGCAGTAAATGACTGTGCAAGGGACCTGATTCTCATTTATATTAAGCTCAGGCAGGGTGCTTATTGTAAATGGGAGTCCCAATGTGGGAGATGGGAGTGAATCAGGCCCTGATTTTCCAAATGGTTAACTTTAGGCTTGATTTCAGTACTGCTAACTGACCCTTTCTGGGATGGGTGAACCTCAAGAGGTTTGGAGTTTGAACTGCATTTGAATCAGTATTCACAAGTCAAATGCATCTCCAAATTATTCATACCTCACAAATATGCAAAACTGAGTAGGAAATGTATTGAGAGCAGGCTTTCTCTGTAGACTTCTGCTTCCACCATGGCCAGAAAGAGAGAGAGAACAGGGCTTTTTCCTGACTGTGTTTTGGCTCTTCTAATCCCAGTTGGAAGCTAGATATGAACCCTCTCTTCTTCCCTAAGGTTCATCTAGACAGCAAGCTTCTTTCGAAAGAAGCTTTTTCGGAAGAGATCTTCCAAAAAAACTCCTTTTGAAAGAGAGCGTCCACACAGCACAAGTGCATCAGAAAAGCGCTCTGCTTTTTTGAAAGAGAGCGTCCACACTCATTGGATGCTCTCTCACATAAAAGGCCACCTGGAACCACGTCAGCCAGGGCATTAGGTCAGCAGTTGCTTCCGGGTGCTGTTGCCTAAGGCTATCTGAGATGCATGCTTTAAGGGACACCCCCGGACAGCCGTTTCTCAGGTTCTGATGCGTGCTTGCCTACCTCTCTGAGGGACAGCAAAGCTTTAGCAGTGTGAGCTCTGGTTGCCCAGCTTTGTTGGACGCCACAGCATATTTTATTTTTTTTGCTATGGAGCCGGAGCTGCCCCCTGGGCATACGATGGCTCCACGCAGCCATGCTGCAGGTTCTGCCCCAGCTGGACTCAGAGCTCATCTGTGAGTCCCTCTGCTTGGGTGCGGGAGCAATGCCCTTGCACCCGCACCCCACAGTGGAGAGACGATTCTGGAGACTGGACACCAGTTCTAAATGGTGGGATCGGCTGGTCATGGAGAGGTAGGATGATCAGCAGTAGCTCAGCAACTTCCACATGCAGAAGGCCATCTTCTTGGAGCTGTGTGCCTGGCTTGCCCCTGGGCTCTGGAGACGCAGCACCCACCTATGGCCCACCATTCCCCTGGAGAAGCTGGTCGCTTTTGCTGTCTGGAAGCTGGCCACCCTCGACAGCTACTGGTCGATGGGCCACCAGTTCGGGCATGGGGAAGTCCACCATCAGGATCCTCCTTATGGAGGTAAGGCACTTTTGGGCTGCAGTCCTTGCGGGGGATGGAGGAATCCTGGAAAACAGGGACCCTAGGGAAAGCTCTGTGGGGGGTGGAGTGGAGGTGGGGGGAAGCCCTGTCCCTGTGGGGGTTATGCCATCGCACCTTTACACCGCCCTGCTGCTGGATGGGCAGCCTCATGGGCATGGCTCCTGCGGTGTTTGAGGGGGGGAGGAAGGGGACGGGCACCTCCCAAGGGATCAGGCGCTCCCTCTCATTCTATGTGTTTCTTTGTCTCCTTCTGCAGGTTGTGAGGGCCTTCAACTCTGTTCTCTGCCCCCTTCTCCCTCCCATAGACAAGCAGGCCAGGGAACTGTTCATCTAGACTGTAGGATCCCATGTGCGGGAAAGGTGCCTGGAGCAGCCTGGCCTTCCCTGGAGCCCACATGCACACCTGCACTTGGCAGCGCTGTCCACAGGAGTGGGTGGGGCCTCACGCGTGCAGGCATGGCTATGTGCGGCACTTCTTGGTCTGTGTGGGGTCATGCGTGCGCCCTTGTGCCTAGCCTGCTTCCAGCAGTGGCTGGCAGGGGAAGGACATCCCTCCCAGGGGTCAGACTTGTGTGGAGCCTCCCCCCAGCCTGTGAGCAGCTGCCTGTGTGTGCTCCAAGGCTGGCTTCTGAGACCATGTGGTGCATACTGCCACTATATGTGCTTGCACGTGCACGGACAGCAGCACGCTGTCCAGGCAGAGCATGCTGATCGATGATCGCACTCCATCCCCTCTGAGCCTGCCTCCCCCACCCTGTGTGTGTGACAAAATGAGAGCACTCACCTGATGATCTCTCCCTGGCGTCAGAAGATGCTTGGGAGTTCTCCAGGGCCTGGGGTAACAGCTCCAGGCTGAGGGTGATGACGCTGCCAGTGTTGTCCTCCTGCAGCTGTTGGTCATCGTCATCCTCCTCCTCCTCCTCCAGGAGCTCCGGATGGGTGAGCACGGGTGTCTCCAAGCCTGAGAGCTGCGCTCCGTGGCCCAGATATTCCCTTGCTAGAGCTCCTTCACCTTGCTCTGTACTTGGTCCAAAGTGCAGGGTTGGTGTCTCCTCTGGGCCAGAGCTTTGGCCATGCACCCGTATATGTCCACATTACACCTTCAGGAGCGGAGATCCTGCATTTTCTCCTCCTCGCCCCACAGCTTGAGGAGGGACAGACTCTCCGTCCCAGACCAGGAGGGTACCCAGTGTTTGGTGCCCCTGGGTGGGTCCTCAGAGCCCAGGTGCTGCTCCCTGTGTGGGCCAGAGGGATTTTGGAGGGGTTGTAGCTATGCCATGGATCAGCAGGCCTTTAGAAGTCAGAGTCACATGGTCAGGGTGCTGCTGCAAGGCCGGTTCCTGCCACAAGCCTTGCCCTGGGTGCCTGCAGCTTTAAGAGCTGTCAGGAGACAGGAACTCTACAGCTGTGATTAGTTTGGACGGAGTGTCCACCAGGGTACCTGTGCTTTTTCCTGGAGGCCTCTTCTTTTGAAAAAACTCCCTCTTTCACATCCACGCACGCCTTTTTCTGAAAGAGCTTTTTCAGAGAAAGTGTTCTTCCTCGTAGAATGAGGTTTACCAATATCAGAAAACCCCCTGCATTCTTTCAATTTTCTTTTAAAAAATGAAGCAGTGTGGACGTAAGTGAAGTTTTTTTGGAAAAACCGGCTTTTTTCCGAAAAAACCCTCCAAGCTAGACGCACCCTAAGGCACATCTATCTGAACAGTTAAGAACCTCAGAGGACAACACTTGGTTTGACTTCAGCTCTAACCGGGGTGAAGGTTACATCTTAGTGATGCCTTTTATAGAGAACTCATCACCATGGTTTGGGAGGTGAGAGGGATTCTACTTTTACCCAGATCAGTAGAACCAGTCAGCTTTCAGTTACTTTTTTAATTGCAGTGAAGAACTTTATAGAGGGCTGGATCTAGTTGTCTGCCTAAAACTCTTGGTGAAGGTGTGTTTGCACCTACTCTTCCCTCTCTTTAGATGAGTGTAACTACAGAGCAAGTCAGTGCAAGTCAGGCCTCCATGATCCATTAAGATTTTTTTTATAGAAAAAAATTACACTGGTGCATCTGATGTAGTATAGACATTAGTGAAACCCTACAATTCAAAGGGTTAACCATTGCATTTTGATTCAGTCTGGGGCTTGCTGTTACAAACTTTTCATCTACATTTCAGGGGAGTTTTGAGTATGCAAGCAATGAAGGATCAGACCCCCATAATTCATTTCAAAGGTGAACCATTTTGGGAAAAGCAGATGCAAAAGGCAAGAAAACAAGGATTATGATGACAAAGGGTCTTTTTCTTGTAAATTTATGATCAATTTACCAGAGGTGGCTGTGTAGATAAAATGGAGCATGCATTGAGTGACTGCTGGAGGAGAAGTTCTATTCACTAGCCCCATCAATCTTGTGGATAAATGGTAAACTCACCTATTCATTCAGTTAATCAAAACTAGAGCCATAATCCCCCTAGAAAGAAGGTGGGTGGAGGAGAAATAACCCCAGGTCTAGAAAATAATTAACAGTTTAGGCATCTTATTTGTCAAGAGCAACTGTACCCTATCCTGTGGTTCTAGCTAGTTTTTGGTAAGTCAGTCTTGCCTCTATACTTCTGTTGCCATTGCATATGAGTGAAGTATAAACAACTTTTTTGCACTGGACAGTGAAAAAAGATTGAGCCAAATGACTTCTGCCTAAATGGTTGATAGACAGTCCCTCACGTCATGCCTCTTAGACCCTCCCAAAAATCATTCTTCCAATAAACAGTATGGGACAAATTCATCCCTAGAGTGAATCCACTGAGTTCCAGGGATAACCAATGCTTAAGGATGAATTTGACCCCTGTTAACATATTTTTCTTTAAAGCACGTTCTTTCAAAACGAACACATATTCTTTTATGCGTACAAAGCTCATTTTTATTTGCATCTTTTCACTTTTTCTTACAATTTGGTAGCTTCTGTTCATATCGTAAATGCATGAAGCATTGTATTTCTGACTAGCTGATGATAGTATTTATTACACATTATAAAACTGTAATACAATAGTTATTACCAGATTATCAAATGTACACAACAAACTAATCAATAGAACTCTAGTGATAGCAGAGTGTTAGATTAAAGGTTAGAATAGATATTTTCATAGTTAATATTGGTTAAATTATGACTTATACTGCTACTTCTATCCACTTAACTGCAAGTCAAACATAAATCCTATGGCTTTATAGCAAAGATCATCTGAACTCCTAGCAGGATATAAAAAAGAGAACATACTGCAGGAGTAAGTCTAAATAAGGAAAGTATTTAGTTATGCTTTTACTATGGCACAGGTTTAAAAAAATAAGGGTGTGAATGTGTTGTTAAACAGAATTAGCCTGGAAATGTAATGGGAAATGTTTATATCGTCGCTTTCAACTTACCTTTGCCAGTTGTTCATGAATTTCTAACAAGCTTGGTCTGTTCATTTTGGTTCCACTGATGCTGCCGGTGTTTCGATAATAATCAATGTTAGGAACGGCATCCACTGTGTTATGGCCAAAGGTTTTTAGATAATATGTGTTACTGTGAGTATCACAGGGATGTAAATTTCCATCAGATTTAACAGTATCCCCATTTTGAAGAAAATTTTCATATAATGCTCTGTTTCCAGGCCTGTGACTGACCCCGAGTCTGCTGTTTGCTTCTTCGGTAAAAGATGTTTCTTCATAATGTGGAGGATCAGCATCCTCTTGGGATATTGCATTATTGTCATGGCTTTCGTTAATTATATTAACCTGAAATCTATTTGGACTTGGGTCCAAGAATATGTTCAGAGAATTATTCATTGACATCTTCAGGAATGTTATGTGCTCAGGTCTCTAAGCTTCCTATTCTTCTGAGTCGGAGGTAGGGTTGCTTTATCTGCAATAAAACAGTAATGTTGCATTTGAAATGGCTTTATTCTTAATCAAACAAAGTTCAGTGGAGACCTTGTTGAAGTGTTCACTCCGAAGTATTCTTCTTTGGGTTGTCTTGCATAATTCTGTCATCAACATATAAGTAAAACTTTTCTATATTTAATTAACTTGCACAGTCATGTATGTCTTTCATGATTTATTAAAAACTCAATTAGACAGCAGCCTTATAACTTTTTACAAATGGGGCATGATCCAAAGTTTCAGGCAATTTGATATCAAAAAGAGTCTTGCTATTTATCTCAATGGACTTTGGATCAGACCCTAATAGGTTATAACTGTACTTAAAAGTAACTTTCCTCAATTCACTATCTTTGTAAGGAATAAATGTTGTACTTCTCTGAATGATGGTTCACTGGAGAGGAAAGGAATGCAACATCTAGCTACAAGAGTGCAATTCACCACAGTGCCTGCACATGGTCTATTTACCGTTGCTCATTGGTTAATTTAATTCATAGTATAGAAGTAAATTGATATGATTATTCAAAATCCAAAGTTTTCTAAAATAACTATATTAGATTATTAAAAGTAAAAACATAAGCCTTTACAAATTTCAGTAGTCCCAAAATGTGAGATAATTTATGAATAGTTGATTGAAGCACTGAAAAGTATTAATTTTAGATATCTCTAGAAGTCATGTCTCAGAGGAGTAGCCATATTAGTCTGTATCTGCAAAAACAATGAGGAGTCCTGTGGCATCTTAAAGACTATTAGATTTATTTGGGCATAACCTTTCGTGGGTGAAAATCACTTTGGGTGCATCTACACAGCACAGTTATGTCAAAGTAACTGATGTTATTTTGAAATAACAATGCAAGCGTTTACACAGCAATTCCGTTATTTCAAAATAAATTCAAAATGATGGATGGTTTATTCTGATTTCTGTAAATCTCATTCCATGAGGAATGACGCCTATTCCAAAATAACTATTTAGAAATAGCAGTAGTGTCCGTTCCACTGCTGCAATTTCAAAATAGCTCCTCTTCAGGGCCATTCAAACTAATTGCTCCCCAGTGCCTCCTGAGGCTTTAAATTGAGGTGGCGCATCCACATTAGGGAAGCCTGCCTTGGACTAATTTTGAGGCTTCCCTGTAGCATGGACGTGCTATTTTAAAATAAGCTATTTCAGAGTATTTTTTCCCAAATAGCTTATTTTTAAATAAGTGTGCAGTGTAGATGTACTTATGCCAAAATAGATCTGTTAGTCTTTAAAGTGCCACAGGACTCTTCATTGTTTTTTCTAGAAGTCATGCCACATAAAGGAATGAATGTGAGAGAGCTGAAACTATCAAAACAATGTTTTTATATAATTGTAAAAAAATACAATAAATAAATGTGTCCAAGTAACTAAAGCAAAATGACAGCTATTAATTATTGAAATATATATTTTCAATAGTTTTAGGCAATACCAGATTCAACAAATAATTTACAGATCTGATCTTGCATTCCTTGTGTCCCCAAATACCCATTTAAGACTATCTGAAAGAAATAGTGGCAGATGATCAGAGCTAAATGTGTGAGGGATGCAGAACTGGGGCCCCCAAATGGTTAAATTTGCAGGATTGGGTCCAAGGAGCACAAGCTGTCAAGTTAAATTACTCTGAATTATTATTATTAATAATAAATGGAGATATACCTATCTCATAGAGCTGGAAGGGTCCTTGAGTCCAGTTCTCTACCCTCATGACAGGATCAAGTACCATCCCTGACAGATTTGCCCCAGATACCTAAATGGCCCTCCCTCAAGGACTGAACTTTCAACCCTAGGTTTAGCAGACCAATGCTCAAATCACTGAGCTAGCCCTCACCCTCTCTCCCTTATTGGTATGTATTAACTAATTATTTGTGATCTACTAATACTGTGCCAGATCAATAGAGACATATATTGATAACTACTTTTAGTAACTGAAGAAATGCAGTTTTACAGTCTTTTGGTAAGAGTCTGTCCAATCCTGTTCCTATTGAACTCATGGTGAGCCTGGAGTCCTTTCGAAAGTAAATCTGATAGGACATTTTGGAGAAAAAGCATGCAATATTATAAAAGGTCTATACCAACTGCACATGCTTAAATAAATAAATCCATTAGAAGAATGAACTGGGAATTGAAAGATAAATTAACCATATCTATTAATAGATCCACATATGCCTACCTCTATAAAATGTCTAATAATCACACAAGGGAAATATAACTTGAAGAGCCCTTTAACTGAATACTCTCCATTCTCATTATGATACTTAGCTATAGCACTTGAATGCAAATCAGATCCAGATTCTGTAGCTCCTATCTATGCTGTGCTGTACTTGTATGTGTGTATTTACAAATATTCTGCTGTAAACTTCCTTCGTAACAAAATGTCTCTCTAATCCACTATATACTGTTTTTTCAAAGAAAGTTGTTCTTTCCTGCTTACATGTTTTGCAAACTCCACCAAAAACAAGCCGTTTCATCTTTCTGCTTCTTTGGTACTAATTTTTTCTTGGTCATCTCTGATCCATGTCACATTTGTTGTGTTATTGATAATCTCTCACTATTTGCTGTATGACTCTTACCTTAATGTAAAAATCTTTAATAATAAAAGAGTTCATGGAAATGAAATATTTTCTTGAATAAGGGAGAGAACCTGATCCTAGTATAGTCAACAGCAGATTTGGTTCTAACTCTGTACTTGTACATTGTGGGTGAAAACCTGTGCCTATGAAGTCAATGGGAATCTTCAACATCTTCAATGGACCCATAATTTCATCTTCCAAGTATACTTCTACAGTAAGTGTTTCCATCGCCAAGAAAATAAAACGTTCTTACCTTTCTGCTGCCTTTGCAAATGATTTATTTTTGCAGTAGATGTCCAAAGGTTAGATTCTGTTGTTTTCCTTTAAATTCAGTACTATTTGTATTATTGAATTATGCATAAGTTAACAAACTTAAGTTAACAAACTTAAACTATTCTGAGCAGTGTAGCTTACCTCTCAGTTCCCCTGCTCCAGTGAAGGACAGTCTGCCTTTTATTTACTTTTGCATATAAACTGTCCTTCTCACTCAAGCATCATGGATTTTACCTCATTGGCTAATTCTTTCTTCTGTGGAAAAATATCAGGTTTCGGACCCAATCCCTGTCTTTGACTCATGCTCTAAAACACTCTTAAATGACTGACTTAAAGTGACATTCAAGCTTGTTAAATATCAACTACTAGTAAATGAACCTGTTAATTCTGGGAAGGGAGAAATAAAACTGCCTCTATGTCAAAGGAGAAATATAGGTTGGTTTTTCTTTAGAATTTATAAAATGCAGCTACAGGCTTCTAGGCTGCTGTATCAATTACTGTCTCTCAATTATGAATCTGTTTATGAGCATTGGCATGTCAGTATGTCTGTCTTGTTTATTGTCTTTAAGATCAAGAATCATTTCATTTTAGATTTTTTTTCTTTCATACTTTAGGGTCGAGGAAGAATGTACATTAAGAGGTAACTGAATTACATTGACATGAATAGAAATTTCTAAAACTCCATGAAATCTGATTTTAGCAAATTGAATTTGGAATGTGAACAGTGAGTCCAGCAGGTACTCCTATTAAAGTCAATGGAAAGATTCAGGGAATAAAGTACTACTCATTATTACTATGATTATTTATTTTTTGTATTATGATAGTTCTTAGCGGGGAGGTCCATTCACATTAACTGCATGTTTAGCTTAAGCACAGGAGTGACACTGTTGGCTCGTCTGAGACTTCTCATGTGCATAAAGTTAAATATCAGTGATGCCTTTTGTGGTGAGGTGGCTCACCGTCACCCCCTTGTCTCTCTCTCTCTGTCCTTTTCCCCTCCGGCGAACCCCTGGATCGCCGGCTTGCCGTCATCCCTGGGGGTTGCTCCCGGGTTGCACTCACGGGTCACCGGGGCCGGAATGTCCTTACTCGGGCTTGGCCCACTCTGGTCCTTGGGCATGGTGGCCGCGGCTCCCGGTGAAAGTTCCCCGGCCGCCGGGCTTAGTCCTCCCGTTCCCGGACAGGTCCGGAGTGGTTGGTTGCTCCGTCCGGAGCCCTCCACCTGCTGCTCCGCCTGCGCAGGAGAAGAGAACGCCGCCAGTCCCCGCTCCCTCCTGGCTCCCTCTCTCCCCTTGCTGCCGCCCTTTTGACCCGGCGCACTGGGGCCACCCTCTCCCACGGTGCTCCCGCGGCCCGGGTTCCTCGGGGTCCTAATGCCCGCCCTAGGCGGTGCGCCCGCTGCCGCGGTTCTACCCCCGGCTGTGCGCCCCGCCCCCTCCAGCTTCCCCGGGTTGCTTGGCAGCACGCACGCTGAGTGCTTCGGCCGCTAAACGGCCGGCTCCCTCGGGGCGCTCAGCTGCTTCCCCGCCGTGCGCCTCTGTCGGGCTGCGGCTGCAACTGGG